AAGAAAAGAAAAGAAAAGAAAAGAAAAGAAAAGAAAAGAAAAGAAAAGAAAAGAAAAGAAAAGAATTCCAGTTGGGAGGGACCTGTAATGATCATCTAGTGCAACTGCCTGATCACCTTGGGGCTGATCAAAACTTAAATCATGTTCTGTCCTTGGACAACTACCTTAACAAAGCGTGGCTTAGCCAATTATCTTAGACTAACAATCTTAATTTTAGAGTTTAGGTGGGACAATCCCCATCCTTCCTGGCTGTGCAAAGGCAAAGAGCAGATCCATCATGATTTTTGCTACAAGACCCCTTCCCACTCAGCGTGTGGGTGTGGTGGCTTTCCAGTATCTTGAAATCCAGGGAAAAGCCCTCGTGGAATGCCTGGTGGTGGGATTCAGTGACAGGATGAAGGGCAGGATGCCACCAGGACCGTCCACAGGAGGAGGAGGGAGGGATGGAGGGAGCAGAGGCCGTGACCTCGGCACGAAATCTTCTTTAGCTCATGATCGCTGGGGTGGGATCAGCAGGAGATCAATGCAGGACACTTCCCAGACACCTTATCAAGTGCTTCACATTCCCGTTGATTCTCTAGGGAGTTATTTTTGTGCAGCATCAGTGTAGAGACTTGATTCACATGGAAAACAAAACTTGCTGGGTGAAGTCTACACTCTCGGGCCCGACCACGTCGACTCGCCGCCGACCGTCCCTCCGTGCGGTGCTTGTTAATTCCGAGATTCTTCATCAGCTACTTCTAAAGTGTTCGAACGTGATTTTGTTGTGGTTGCTGCCGCTCCTCTTGCCTAAGTTAAAACTTTTTTAATATTAATCTTTTTTGACTGGTGTGAGGCTGTCAGCTCTCTGCAAGCGTTAATTCGCTCCCGCTCTGCCGGGAGCGCTACGACGTTACTATCGCTGAGCTCGATTATTTTGTCTTGTTGTTGTTGTTGTTTCCTTTTTCCCAGTCGGCTTCTCAAGTTTTCCCCCTTTTTTCCCCCTCTCCCCGAACCTTCCGGGCTGAGATGATCCTCTTCCACTTACAACCCTTTATTGTAGATCACAGTCTTACTGGTGGTGGCCATTGCGATCTCCGGCTCCAGCCGAGACGTCTCAATCTGTGAAAATCAAAGAGAGGAGGCGAAATCAGAATGTTGTGCTGCAGCAGGAGCTCCATAGATCAATAAATTAACGTGGAGAAGCACGATATGGAAATAATTCCACACCAATCTCGCCTTCTCCGTGTCATTTTAATGTGCTTTACTCTTCTCGAGCCTCAAAACGACCCTGTGTGGATTGACTTGTATTACAGGAAATGATGCCTGGTGATATTCAATGAATTATAGAGTGTCTCCGAGGCTCTCCCATCGTTTTCCAGGGGACAACCCTTCCTTTTCCCACAGCCAAGGTGCTGTAAGGAATCCAGCCCCCAAAGCTGTGGTTTGGACCTGGAAAAACCAAGGGCTGAGTGGTGCAACCTCACTCCACTCCATCCTCCAACAGGGATGGATCACAGCTAAAATCTCCCAACTCCTTTCTCTGCCTCCATAAAATCTCCAGTCCTTTCCTAAGTTCTTCCTTTTGCCAGCTTCATGTGAAGCTTTCTCTTGCTCTGAAATCACTCCAAATCTGTGCATCCCTGGGAGGAATCCACGGTGCTCCCAGTTCCCACGACAAGCAAAGATCCCGCTCCCGGCCGGGACGGGGCACCTCGCAAAGCCTGGAATTTTAGAAATCCTATACATTGAATCGATGCTGTTGCTGACACAATGCTAAGAACCCACGTTAAAAATCGAAATGCTTTTGAAAATGTTTAACCTAGTTAGACAAATTAGCAAAAATTTGTGCAAAACAATTTAGGTATTTAAAATATTCAATGTTTTTAAAAACTGGAAAAACTGTTCTTAGCTTTCAGCTGCAAAAACCCAACAAAATATAACATCAAAGCAATCTTAACATGAGGTGCAACATAACCCTTCAGCAAAGCTGTTAAACAGCTACTGAAGCATCATGGGAAATAGCACTTCATTTATTCAAATGCACATATGTCAGGTTTTTGCACCATATGTCATTCCAAGCTATTTACAGTAATAATTAAATCTTAATCAACGTTTAACCTCTGTAAAATGTTTGAAGGGATCTAATCACCCTTCAGACTGCACTAATGAAGGAGAAATATATAAACATAAAAAGAAAATGATGCATAGATAGCACACCAGAAAGAACAGTAATTGCAAAATTGTATTTCTTTTAAATATAATCAGCAAATTATGTAAAGTAAGCCAACGAGTATTTTAAGTGAAGACATCTTGGGTGTCAGAGGTGTGATCAGCTAATTTTGTACTGCTATCCATAACAGATGTAGCATATTTTCTTTTAGTGCCATTATTAGCAACTTCACCATCTCTTTCTGTGCTGAAACCCGGGAGTGCAGCGTTGTGGTGGGGAGAGCACCCGGCAAAGGTGCAGGAGAGGCGATTCTCACGTACCCCCGGCACCGGCGGGATCCGTTTCGGAGGCAGGATTAGCTCCGATCTGCCTGGCTCTGACGCAGCTTCCCCTCCCATTGTTGTCGGATTTCTCCTTCCAGAGACAAGACAGAAAAGCTCCCGGGCTTTGGGGGGGTGGGCGGGTTCACCCACCGGGAGGAAGATATCCAGGTGGGAAGCGGGGTCAAGGCCCGCGGAGGGGTTCAAGGAACAACTGGTGGACAGTCAAAGGTTGGACTGGGTGGTCTTGGAAGTCTTTTCCAACCTTAATGATGCTGTGAAGTGCTTTTAAATGGCCTGGAATTGGGGGAGGTTCAACGCTGACCATTGGGGATATGGGGCAGCTCAAAACCCAACCTACTACTGGGACGTCTCCATGGAGAGCCACCACGATCCCTCCCTCTCCAAAGGGAGCTGGAGAGGTGGGAGCTCCAAGGAAAGCCACATCTGCCTTGGTGGACCCCAAACCAGTGGTCTGAAAGCACGACCTATAGGGAAATGCTGAGGATGTGGACGTGCTGAGCCTGGAAGAGAGAAGTTCCAGGGATGCGTGGTGGGGTTTGAGTGTGCGAGGGGCTGTGGAAGAGAAGAAAAGCAGGAATGTTTTGTTCACGCTCCCTTGGGACACAATTCAAAAAGCAGCGAGTGCGATCCAAGCTGAACAGCAGGAAGAGTATCCTAGTGGGAAGGAGCAAAATATCACAACCAAACGCTTTGGGGAAGGTGTGGGGTGTCTGTGGTGGGAAGTTTTCAGCACAAATGAGATGAAAACCCATCAAGAATAGTTTAAGCAGAATTGTCTTGGTGGAGGGAGACAGATGAGATAATTGCTTGGAGGCTCTTCCAGCTTCCTCCCCATGCGTCCAGGAGGGAAATGGCTTCGTTCCCTGCATGGATGAGCTCTCCATCCACAGCAAGGCCGTTGCATGAGGTGGTTTTAGGAGGGATGGGACTGAAGAGGGATAGTTCAGAGAGAGATTATGGTGTCTGAGGAGAGGGACGCAGAAATCAGTGTCTAATTTGGAAGCGTGCAAAAAACACACTGATGTGGCCTTTGGGGACACGGGTCAGTGGGGAACGGTTGGACTCGATGATCTCAGAGGGCTTTTCCAACCTTAATGATTCCATGATCCTTGTGCAGGATGGACACACGGTCAGGGACCCCTCTGAAGACCTTGGAAGGAGACACAACCAGTCCCAGGCACTGGTTTGGAGCTGTGTAATTATCAGACTCACTCAAGCCCCTTTCCAAAGCCTGGAAAGATGGGAAAGAAATTTGCTGGGGAGGTGGAGGTGACTGGTTGAACTGGAGCCACCTCTGGCTGAGTTTAACAAAGCAGGTATTAAAAACTGCTCCAGAGCCTCAGGAGCTCCAAGGGGTGAGTCTGCACCAAGAAGGCAGGTACAGGAAACTGGGAAAGCCTTCAGAAATCCATCAGGAGTAACTTACTCTTCCCACTGTGGGAAATCAAATGGAGAACAGGGAGAAGCATTCGGGTGATGGGTTACAGGTATTGAGGCAACATTAAATCACAACCTTATTGTTCACCAGTTCAGTCTTAGACTCCCTCAGAGTTTTTTGTTGTTGGAAAGTGTAATTTCACCTATTTTGGCACAGGCTGCTATTCCAGCTGTCCAGCACCCCGGACCTGCTCAGCCAACCTTCCACTGGCAGACACATCTGGAGACCACGGTTTCTTGTCAGGATTTTTGTGTCTCAGCTTCCAAGACCTCCAGCAAGGTCCTTGCTGGTCATGGCCACGCTGGGAACCCCCCTGTCAAGGAATACCTGCCCAGGAGGGTGCTCTGAGGAGCAGGTTCTACCCTGCTGGGACTACACTGATGGGACCTGTCCCACCTCACACAGGGTGACTTTGCCCTTTCAAACCAAGTGTGGGCCTGGGTTTGGACTGTTGTCCATCCTCTTCCTCCCAGAGAGGTGCTGGAGCAAGGGATGGATCCTCTTCCTGCCTTTGGGATGATGGCACTGGGGTGCCCACCAGAAAATGGTCTTCAACAACGGATCCAGGAGAAGTCCAGGAGGGATGCAAGTTCAGACAGCACTGAAGGACACGTGGTGTAAAAGCACCACTCCCAGACAGGGCTACAGGGGGCTTGTTTGGGGTAAAAAAACAGGCTTTTGGGCTGATGGCTGCACTGACCACTCGGTGTCCTGACATACCAACATGGGAGACACTGTCATGAGGGAGTGGGAGAAGGAGGAATTGCTTCACACCCCTGTGAAGCTACTGCAGGTAGAAGACCCTCGCTGGGGACAGGGCCAGGGTGCATCTCCAAACTCATCCAGAACTGTGTTTGACGTGACCAAGATCCACTACAACACCTGGGAACCGGTGCATCCTGAGGATGCTCCTCTTCCCACTGGTGGATATCCAAGGGGGAAAACCCCAAGAAAGGGCGTCCCCTGCCCTTATCGAGGCAGCTGTTTACAGAGCAGCCCCAGGCAGGTGATCTCAGTGCTGCCCCTGCCCCGCCGAGATCCATCCCCGCAGGGAAACAAAGCCACCACACCGGGAATCGCCTCTCCCGGTGCCCGGCACACGCCAGCTCTTCTTCCCCCCATCCCTGCCTTTGCAGTGGAAGCCTCTCTCCTCTCATCAGCACAGACAAGGCTAATTGGGGTGATAAAGAACTGGCTCCGAGTGCTGGCGTGGGCTGGAGGAACAAATGGTGCGGTGGTCACAGCTGGTGCTGCAGGGATGGGGAGGGAGAGGGTGTGAGGAGGCTCCCGGCGCCCCGAGTTCCCTCAGCCCGTGTTGGATGCGGGGTGGGGGGTTGTGTGTGTTTTGCAATCGCTGCTGACACGGGTGTAACTCCCATGCGCGGCCGGTGAGGCAGCAGCAGGCAGAAAGCAGATGCTTTTTGTTTGGGGTTGATACTCATTTCTATCCCAGCTCGGGAAAAGGTGTAGAAAGGAATGTGCTCCTAAGAGTGCAGGGAGAGAGATAGGTCTAGGCTGGCTGCCAGGGATCCTGTAACGATATGGAAGGCAGCTAGGGGAGACAGGAGCAGATGGATTTGGCATACAGCTCATCGCTCAGCCAAAAAAAAAAAAAAAAAAAAAAAGGGGGGGGGGGGGGGGGAGAAGAAGGAAGAAAGCAGCCAATTTTGGTAGGGGGAGGGTCATGTGGACTGACGGATGCTGCGCTGGGAGGTGGGGGAAGGGAGGACCAGGCTGGTCACTCTGTCTTCTGCTGCTGCCTTGGCAGTGCCAGCGAGGAGAGCCGGTGGTGGTCCCGGTTTGGAGCCTGGGAAGGGTGTCCTGCCCGTCCAGCAGCCCTCTGCCATCTCCTCCTGGGACATCAGACATCAGGGCAATGGCCAAGGGCAGCATCAGGATATCTGAGACCTGGTGAAGCTCGGCGAGGTGTAACAAGGACTATAAATGGCACCACAGAATCATTAAGGTTGGAAAAGTCCTCCAAGATCATCGAGTCCAACCATCCCCCAGCACTGCCAAGGCCACCACTGACCCGTGTCCCCAAGTGCCACATCCACAGAGCTCTTAAATCCCTCCAGGGATAGGGATTCCACCACCTCCCTGGGCAGCTGTGCCAAGGCTGGAAAACCTTTTCCATGAAGGAACTTTTCCCAATAACCAACCTGAG